GATAATTTGGCACTTATTCCATTTAGTTTTAAAGCACATGAAAACATATTAATGCATATTAAAATTGATGAATCTTACTATTATGAAAATAAATGGCAAAAGGATCTAGATAAATTAGAAAAATGTTTAGTAAACATTTTGAATTAAAGAATATGAGGGACTTTTCTTAAGTATTGTTTTCTTTAAAGAAACTTAGCCTTTTGGGTAAAGCGAAAGAGAAAAACAGTAACTTAGTAGAGCTATATATTCTTGGATGTTTTCCGTTTTCACCACTAGAAGACTTAAAACAGGAAGCTTTGACTTACCTGGAAAACGCTTCGGGCGGCGACGGGAGCTGCTTGGGGCTACTGGAGCCGCGGGCGCAGGCGCAGTTGTGAGACCAATCCCTCAGGATTGCGGGCTCGCGGGAACCTGCGGAGGCCTGGCGTTGTGGACGCCACCTGGTCCACGCGAGAGGCACGGGGCCTCGGGGCCGGCAGGCGTCGCTCTCCGGGGACTTAGGGCCGTGGAGCAACCTAAGGTCCCTGGAGCCGGCTGTCTCCTGGAGGAACCGGACGCCCGGACTCGCTGGGGCCTGCTGAGAGCCTGGGGCCAAGGAGCCACCTGAGGCTGCGTGAGCGGCAGGCAGACAAGGGGCGCGAGGCGTGCGGGAGGCGTGCGGGAGGCGTGCGGGAGGCCTGGAGTCGGGAGACGCAGGTGAGCCAGTTTCTTGATTCCCGGACAGCCGTCGTGGGCCTGGTCTCGCGGGAGCTTCCTCAGGCGGCTGGAGCCAGCAGGCCCCGGGGAAGACGGGGTCACTGAGGCAGCAGGGGCCGCAGTCCGAGAGGCTGTGTTGTTGGGAGCCCGCAATGAGTCACTTCGGACCTAGGGCGTCCGCGAGTGCTGCGGCAAGGCTGCTCTCCCCTCAGGTGGGTGGTGAAGTCAGGCGCTCCCTCAATTCTCCTTCCTGGCGGCGGCGTCTCTCCGTTTGCGCATGCGGGCCGCTAGGACCTGTGGGAAGGGTCCTGGGGGTGATGGGAATCTGTCTTTCCTTCCCTCCTTGTTTCTACGCTTCAATGAGAGCCTGGAATCCTTCACCTGGAATCCTTGGCTGGCGTGAAGGTACTTTCTGAGCAGATAGTTGAGGGTGGGGGGTGGCTGAGTGGTAGAAATTCCTGTGCCGCCGTTTTGCTAATGCCCAGACATGGACTTTAAAATAGTTACTGTGAATCTGTGGACTTACTCAGAGGAAAATTTGGCTGTAATGAAGAGAGAAATTTAAAGAAACATAAAAATCAAGAGAAATTTTAAAAACATAAAACTTAAAAATGTTACAGATGAGAGATACCGTGTCTGAAATAAACATTTCACTGCAAGGTATTACCAACCAACTAGATATTGCAGAAGGAAAATTGAACTTGAAGGTAAAGGTGAATCTTGTGAATAGTGAAAACACTGAACTTGAAGAAACAGCAACAGAAACTATCCAGAATGAAGCACAGAAAGGAAAAAGAGTGAAAAAATTTTAAAGTTTCAGTGATCCAAGTGACAGTATCAAGCATCTTACGTTGTTTCATACTCGGAAGGTAGGGAGGGATTGAGGGAAAAAAAGTCTGTGGAGAAATACTTGCTAAGTTAAGAAGGTAGAAATAGTTTTTTTCCAAAAAAC